CAGCTGGAGTCTGGGATATAGGACATGAGTATCCATACCAAGACCACCAGTGACTACTCAGGTGGGCTGAGCCCAGCTTATGGGAACCTCAGCTATGGCATGGACTTCCAAACCAACTTGGGCTCTGGTGGGGACTCTTGCTCCTTCAGCAGCACCAGCTCCTCCAAGAGAGTGGTTGTGAAGAAGATTGAAACCTGAGATGGGAAGCTGGTATTTGAATCATCTGATGTCTTGCCCAAGTGAACAACTACTGTGGTCCCTACTGCCCTGAGAGCCTGTGGGAAAGGAGCTGTGCTGGGAGAATGGCAGGCGTCAGCCCCAGTCCTCAGCTCACCCTTGGGGTACAGGAGGTTACATGCCCCCAACTAAATCATGTGGGGTTTTTTTCCAAAATACCATCTCAGCTGGCTGTCAACCCTAAAAGAAAATAATAAGTTAAAAAAATAAAAGCAGAATTTTGTGGAACCTTCACTTTGTACTTTTTTGAAAAATACATAGTCTTAATTATATTTTTCCATTACCATTTAGTCCCTTTATACCTCCATCCCCCCAGTAATCACCACCTTGTTGTCCATGTCCATGAGTCCTTTTTTGCTCAGTCCCTCTACCTCCTAACCTCTGCTGCCAACTAGCTGTCATCTGTTCTCCATCTATGAATCTGTATCTTGTTTTGCTTGTTAGTTCAGTTTGTTCATTAGATTCCCCATATGAATGAACTCTTATGGTATTTGTCTTTCTCTGACTGGCTTATTTCACTTCACATAATGTTTTCCAGGTCTGTCCACGCTGTTGTAAAGGGTAACATTTTCTTCTTTTTTTATGACTGAGTAGTATTCCATTATATAAATACCCCATAATTGTTTTATCTACTCATCTATTGATGAACACTTGGGCTGCTTCCATATATATCTTGGAGATTGTAAATAATGCCACAATGAACACACAGGTGCTTATGTTTTTTTCTCATTAGTGTTTTGGCTTCCTTTAGATGTATTCCCAGAAGTGGGATTGCTGGGTCAAAAAATAGATCCATGTTTAATTTTTTGAGATATCTCCACATTGCTTTCCACAGTTGGCTGCACTAGTCTGCATTTCCACCAACAGTGCAGAAGGGTTCCCCTTTCTCCACATCCTGGCCAGCAAGTGTTGTTTTTTGATTTATTGATGATGGCCATTCCAACAGGTGTGAGATTGTATCTCATTGTGGTGTTTATTTGCACTTCTCTGATGATTAGTGACATTGAACACCTTTATACGTCTGATGGCCATCTTCATACATCTCTGTGTCCTCTTAGGAGAAATGTCTGTTTAGGTTCTTTGCCCATTTTTAATTGGGTTGTTTGGGGTTTTTTTGTTTTGATTTTTATAAGTAGTTTATAAATGTTGGATATTAACCCCTTATCAGATGTATCGACAATGTGTTCTCCCATTCTGTGGGTTGTCTTTTTATTTTGTTGTTGATTTCCTTTTGCACTAAAAAGTGCAAAAACTTTTTAGTTTGATGAACTCCCATTTGTTTATTTATTTATTTTTGTTTCCCTTGTCTGGAGAGAGATATCCAATGAAAATTTTCAATGAGCAGTGTCTGAGATTTTGCTGCCTCTGTTTTCTTCTAGGATTTTTTATGTTTTGGGGGTCCAATATTTAAGTCTTTTATCCATTTTGAATTTATTTTTGTGTGTGGTGTAAAAAGATGGTCTAGTTTCATTTTTCTGCATGTATCTGTCCAGTTATCCCAACACCATTTATTGAATAAACTATCGTTAGCTCATTGTATGTGCTTGTTTCCTCTGTCAAATATTAATTGACTATAAAGGTATGGATTTATTTCTGGTCTCTCCATTATGTTCCATTGATCTGTGTGTCTGTTTTTATGCCAGTACCAAACTGTTTTAATTCCTATGGCCTTGTAGTATAGTTTGATACTAGGTAGTATGATGCCTCCAACTTTGTTCTTCTTTTTCAGAATCACTGTTGCTACATGAGGCTTTCTATGATTCCATATAAATTTTGGAAGTATTTGTTCTAGTTCTGTGAAATACATCATTGGAATTGTGATAGCAGTTCCACTGAATCTGTAGATTGCTATGGGTAGTATGGACATTTTAATGCTATTACTTTGTCCTATCAATGAACATGGTATGTGCTTCTACTTTTTCATATCTTTTTCAGTGTCTTTCTTCAGTGTCTTGTAATATCCAAATACAAGTCTTTTACATCCTTGGTTAGGTTTATTCCTAGGTATTTTATTCTTTTTGAAACAATTGTGAATGGGATTGTTTCTTAATTTCTCTTTCTATTATTAGTTTGTTATTGGCATATAAAAACGCAACTAATTTCTGAATATTAATTTTGTACCCTGCTGCTTTTCTGAATTTATCAGTATTAGTAGTTTCTTGGTGGTATCTTTGGGGTCCTCTGTGTACAGTATGTAATCTGCAAATAAAGACAGTTTTACTTTTTTTTTTTTTTTCCAATTTGGATGCCTTATATTTCTTCTTCTTGTCTGATTGTTGTGGCTAGCACTTCCAGTACTATGTTGAATAAAAGAGATGAAAGCAGACATCCCTATTTTTTCCTGATCTTCAGGGGAACTCTTGTAGTTTTTGCCTGTTGAGTATGATGCTGGCTTGGGTTTGTCGTATATGGCCTTTATTATGTTTGGGTACATTCCCTCTATTTCCACTTAGCTGAGAGTTGTTGTGTTTTTTTTTATTATAATGGGTGCTGGATTTTATCAAAAGCTTTTTCCACATCTGTTGATGTGATCATGTGGTTATTATCCTTACTTTTGTCTATGTGGTAAATCACATTTATTGATTTACAAATGTAGCATCCTTGCATTCCCAGAATAAATCCCACTTGATCATGTTCTCGCTTTTCCTCTTCTCCTTCTGGCGCCCCTATGATTTGGATGTTGGAACATTTAAAGTTGTCCTGGAGGTTCCTAAGCCTCTCCTCATTTTTTTTTTGAATTTTTTGTTTCTTAATTCTGGTTGAATGTTAATTCCTTCCTTTTGTTTCAAATCCTTGATTTGAGTCCCATTTTCCTTCCCTTCACTGTTGGTTCCCTGTATGTTTTTCTTTATTTTACTTTATACAGCCTTAACTTCTTACTGTATTTTGCAGCCATATTCAACCATTTCTGTGAGCATCCTGATTACCAGTGTTTTGAACTCTGCATCTGATAGGTTGGCTATCTCTTCATTGCTTAGTGTTTTTATGGAGCTTTGATTTGTTCTTTCATTTGGGCCATATTTTTTTGACTCAGCACATTTGCAGTGTTGTAAGTGGTGGAGCCTTAGGTGTTTGACAGGGCGGCGCAACCTGCTTCTCTGAGTTGTGGCACTGTGTGGAAGGGGGTGGGGTCAGAGAGGGAACAGTGCAGCTTACTTGGCTCTTGCCCTGATATCCGTCACTTCCCCTGCTTCCCACAAGCAATTGGCACCCTTCCAGTTGCTGCCCTGGTGCTGATTCCTAGGTGGGTGGGCTTATGTACATTCTAGGACTCCCTGGACCACTCCAACAGACTCTCCTGAGAGACTGGCTGTTTCTTCTGCTGCTACAACCCCCATAGGTTTTACAGCCAGAGGTTAAGAGGCTTTAATTCCCAGAGCTGGAACCCTGGGTTGCATGGTCTGTATTGCTCACTCCCCAGTTGTCCTCTCATTTTTTATCTTTATGAGAATGTAGGACCACCTGGTCCACCAGCCACTGCCTTGCCATGTGTCCTATCCACCCCAGCTGCCCATCTCCACTCCTCCTACCAGTCTGGATAAATTGTTCCTTCTTTGGTCATCAGACTTCTATACAGTTTGATTTGCTGGTAGTTCTGGTTGTTTTTTGTTTTTAAATTGGTTGTTATCCTTTTTCTGTGCCAGGAGGCAAAGTGTATCTACCTATACCTCCATCTTGGCCACCTCCCATGATGGCCATATATAATTGATGATTATATATGGATTCATGGATTTACTTTTTATAAGTCTTTGGTCCCCTCTGGTCCTGCACATCACAGACTCTGTAGAGAACCACGAGGAATATTGATGATGACAGGAAGTAAAGGGTTTAGGGCTGAACAAAGGGTAGAATTTCTAGGGGCTCATAGTTGCAGCGACCTTAAGGGAGAGGAAGGAAATAACTGGAAACTAGGTAACCAGAAAGTCAGGGGTGGAATGTCTAATGACTAGAGAAGTAATATTTATATTTTTCTTTGTTAGAGAGGGGGACAGAGGGAGAGAGCAAGTGAGAGAAACATCAGTTGGTTGCCTCTTGTATATGCCCTTACCAGGGACCAAACCCACAACCCAGACATGTGCCCTCACTGGGATTCGATCTAATGACCCTTTGGTTCGCAGGCCCATGCGCAGTCCACTGAGCTACACCAGCCAGGGCTCTTTTTATTTCTGAATAAAATTCCCTAGTAAAAAAAAAGTTTTATCTCAGCTGAAGGCATGTTGAAAAGAAATTTTTCTACTTCTCATGCAGATGAGAGAATTAGGTTCTCAGTGCACACCTAGAGCCTAGGGTGGCATGTTGTATTGGCTTTTGGCCATCTGATGGAGCAGGAGCTGGACACACAGGAGTGCAAACCTTGGAGAGAAGGTATTGGGGACTGTGGCACCAACCATACAGCTAAGGACTTCTTTCCTTCTGGCCAGCCCTTCACAACACTCACAAGCTTATCATAGGCAGTCTTTTTGAATTTTGGCAGCTCTGCATTCAAATGGCTTTAGAGAAAGGAATGGAGGAGGGGATAGATAGGACAAGTGTCAGAGCCTGAGAGGAAAGCAGAGGTAATGGCCACTGCTTTAGATGCCCTTCTGCTTTTACTAGGTAGATGGTCTACTTTTTCAAACAAATAAGAGTTGCCTTACAAGAAGAGATTTGGAAAGATATAAACAGAGGTGTCTTACTTTTACTTTTGCGGTGTTTAAACTCTCAATTTGTATGAATGTAACTTTTGAGGTTTTTAACCACCGTGTAACCTGTGTGACTTTCAGGTGCTACTCGTGAGCAGCAGTCGCCATCCAGACCGATGGATTGTCCCTGGAGGAGGCATGGAGCCTGAAGAGGAGCCGAGTGTGGCAGCAGTTCGTGAAGTCTGTGAGGAGGTACGCGCTGAGAAAAAAGAGACGGGGTACCCTGTAGTCGTGAAGCTTTCCTGTATGTAGTTTTTCATTTATTACCACTCCCTGATGAACATAACTCATGATTGTAGAAGGCATTTAACAGTTACCATGTGCCTCCTGCAATCAGGTCCTGACATGGTAATGTTTACTAGGCACCACTCTATGCAGGTTCCTAGTAGTGACTGTATCTGATTATACCAGACAGCCCTGTCATTTCCCTTGGATCTCTTTCAATACTGTATCTCTTACCTGTAGCAGAACATCAAGAATCGAATAGTTAATCAGCCCTAAGAAATAAGAAGAGCAGGCCATCTTGGTATAAATGGCTCATTCTCATTAATTAACCTTTGGATGAGGAGGAGGCGGCCCTAGTTTTCCTGTGTTTCCTCAGTCCTGACCATAGAACAGTGGCTAAAAGAACACTTCTGTTGGCCAGAAGCTGTTAATGGTGCAGCTCTAGAGATAATAGTATCTTATTTAAAAAGTTTAATCATATGATACTCAACATACATATGTTCAGTTTCTGGGCCATGCCCAATACATCTAACTAGATACTCGAGAATAAACAGAAGAAGTAAAATCTTAGGCCCTTACTCCCTTACTTCAAGAGCTTACAGTTAGGTGCTCGCTTCGGCAGCACTTATACTATAAATTGGAACGATACAGAGAAGATTAGCATGGCCCCTGCGCAAGGATGGCACGCAAATTCGTGGAGCATTCCATATTTAAAAAAAAAAAGAGCTTACAGTTAGGTTGGGGAAACTAAGAAAGAGATTGCAATTCAAAACCAGGAAAAAGGAACTAATGTTTCCTGCCTCTTGGGAAATACCATGCTCTGCTCCGCTTATGTTATCTCATTGAGGAACTCCTAACTGGTGGTTTAAATTTCATTACTCCCATTTACTTCCCCTTACCACATCAGTAGTATTTTTAGATGCATTTTCTTGTTCCAGAGGGGATGTAAGACTGATTGTAAGGACATATAAAATGGCACTTAGAACATTCTACATTTCTTTTGGGCCCAGCACTCGCCGAAGTCCATTCAGGCTAATCTTACCCTCGGAATACTCCAGGAATTCTTGTGTCACTCTCATTATATATCTGGTATCTGTAATTAGATTGTAATCTTTGAGGACAAAGATTATGTTTCCTTCTTTAAATCTTGCCTTTCTGTGCCTAGTTCACAGCTAGGTGAAGAGAAAGTAATTATTGCATGCTTGTGTGACTGTTGAAATAATAAAAACCCTGGAGAAATACCCCAAATGGAAATTATTAGCATTCTTTTTGGAAGATTCCAAAGGTTTGACTATTCAAATAAGTGTGATAGGGCAGTTGGTGGACCTCAGCTGCATCCTTTTGATTTAAATCCATTTGGTTCCAACAGGTAGGTTCTAAGGCACTTAAGGCAAAGTGATATTTGACAGAGTACTATGGCAGTTGTACTCTGACATGTTGGAAGCCCTGAAATAGAATGATGGTTCTAGAATTGAAAGACAGGAAGAAGTCGAGACCCAGTTCCAAACTTGCTACTTGGTTTTAGGAGCTGTGGGGCGAACTCTTGACAGGTCTACCTTTGTAGGGGACATTTGGATTTGGCCATGTCTCAGGAAAGCTTATATTAGTTGTTGTCCCTAGGTTGTGCAAGTGCCACTAAGATGTAGAAAACTAGATGATTGCCATAAGAAATGCAGTGAGGGAGTAGGATGGGATATAGGGCGCCGGGCCTTTGTTTCCTGGAAATTATGCACCATCATTCAGTAGGTGAAAGGGAGAATAGAGTGAAGTAGGAATTAAGTGCTTGGTACGTGAGAAAGTGAATGACCTCACACAGATAATTAAACACTATTTCTCATATGTTCATTGTCTCATCTGCCTCCTCTCCTGAAGGGAATCCTGAGCTTAAAAATTAAACTGAGCCTGCCATTCTCAGCCCTGGAGAGTCCTGCTGACTTTGAGCAAAATTTTCCCCTCCAGTGCAAGGAGAGTCAGTCAGGCCATACCTTGTACCTTATTCTATTATATTGAGAGGATAAAGAAATGTCTATGACTGTTTAGACTTTAGAATCAAAGTTATCAAATACAAATATTTGTACAAACAATAAAATTAAAGAAATGTGTCATTACAAAACCAAACATTTCAGTGGCTTCCATCAAAACAAAATGGAAGGGTTATTTTTTTCCAATTCCATGCCTCACAACAGAGAATAAGACTTGGAATCGGAGAGGATGTAGGTTGATGTTTTTTATTGCCCTTAAAGAGTAGCGTTAGTAAGCTGAAGTCACTATTCAAGGATATATTTTGTTTTCAAAATGTTATGACTTTTTTTCTTATACACATTCAAAAACTTTGTTCTTTCATAATGCTTATAGATCAGATTGCTCTGTAAGCAGAGGAGGCTTTACTAGTCACTTTCTTTTTAAAGATTTTATTTATTTATTTATTTTTAGAGAAACGGGAAGGGAGGGAGAAAGAGGGAGAGAAACATCAGTGTGTGAGAGACACATTGACTGGTTGCCTCTCACACACCCCTAACGGGGTTCTGATCTACAACCCAGGCATGTGCCCTGATAAGGATCGGAACCAGTGACCCTTTGGTTCTCAGGCTGGTGCTTAATCCACTGAGCCACACCAGCCAGGATTATTAGTCACTTTTAAGAGGCCTTTGGATAATACTTAGACCAGTTAATTGAAGACTTTCAGATATTTCAGGTTGCATTTACAGATTTACATATTTGACTATTTTTAAAGAATTTCAGTTATATGACTTAAAAAATAAAGACTTCACAAAACTCTTTGACGAAATGTCCTGTGAATCTCACATATTAAACTTACAAATAAGGGGAGTCTTAGATTCTTTAAATATGAAGGGGACCAAAAACAAAACAGAATTTATTTTTTAAAATTGTGTAATTTTTTTTTATATATTTAAACCTTAGTCACCTTAAAAGTACTATCCATTTGATGCAATACACCTATTGTCATGTGTTTTCCACTGCTCAAAACAGTTTTTGAACTTGTCAATTTTTATGCTTTTTAGTGCTTCTGTCATTTTTTTGTTTCACCTCTTCCATATCAGCAAAACATTTCCCTTTGAGAAATATTTTCATCCAGGGAAACAAACAGGAAGAGTCACTCAGGACCAGATCAGGTGACTACGGAGGGTGGGGCACGGGGTCATGCCATTTTTGGTCAGAAACTGCTCAGAGCTCAGTGTAGTTGTGGGCAAGTGCACTTACAAATCACCCATCATGAAATGGGCAAATACATTGAAAGTCTTCAAAAAAATTCACTGAAGCTGAATGCAGCCTCTCACAACAATGCCAGCTGTTACAGGTGGGTTCCTAGAACTCATCTAGCAGAGGAAGCCTTTTCTACAAGGGCCCCACCCTCCAGAAGATAATTCTGTTTTTTTGGGGGGTCCCCCTCGTATTCCCATGGTGTATGTAAACTTAAGACTAGCAAACTTAAACTTAAGGTCACAAATAAATTAATTATACTTTCAAAATTGAGATTACGATCTAATAGGCCAGATTCTTTTAACATTACAAAATACAAATCTGGTCTCCTTCTTCATGTAGAATTTACTATGACTTTGATTCTCAAACAATTCTGTATTTCATTCTAAATATTTCCAGTACTGAAAGATGCTTGCTCACCGAAGAAACTGGCTCTCCCTGTTAAATGAGGTCAGGACTCTTAGGCGCCGTGATGGGAAACACTGATCCAGTTCACTGTCAGTGTCTCAGGACTCTCTTACTTCACAAGACTGGTGGTCATGCAGGCCACATGTGTGGGAATGGGTATCGGGTGAGCGGTCTGCAGCATCTGGCACATCTGGCTAACTCTGTGTCTTAATCTAAGAATTACTTCTCTCATGAAGTCTTTCTCATTCCACCCTGTAGACTTGCTCTTTCTGTGTGCCCAGTGCAATCTGCACTTCTAGCATCGTGGTGTTATCTTTTATTGGTACTGCTTGCTTAAGTCTTCTGTGCTCCCTCTATCTATACTCTGTGTAGTCAGGTACCATTCTTTCTTGCTCACTATTGAATCCCCAGAGCTTAACATATAGCAAGTGCTTACAAAAACACAATTTCTGTATTTTACAACTATTCCTTCTATTAATGTGACCTCTAGAGCAGCCACGTAAATACTGTTGAGTTAGGCACTTTCAGGTTGTTAGGCGTAAACATGCCTGCAAGGCCTTTGTTTAATGAAGAACGTGATAGTATTGCAGCAGCTGCCTAGCCAGGCTGTGCAGAAAAGAAAACTTGGGTCACAGTGCACAGACAGGTCTTGTTCGCGATGGGTGGACATTGGGCATGCCAAGTAGCACAAGCAGGCTGGTTGGTTCACCGGTGGCCCTACCCCTCCCTTCCGATGTGGAGGAGCTGCCTTTCTAACCTCAGCCTCCTGGCTTCTACTTACCATGTTTTGTTTTGCGTTTTTCCTCCCTGGTCACCACTCACCTGTCAATCGACTCTGTGTATCTCACTTTCAGTCTTCCTAAGAGAGGCTCTGATTGGTTTTGCCTAGTTATGACCTTTGGGTAGAGTTGCCAGACCACATGGTCAGCTTCTCGACATTTTGAAGATGTCTGCTGTGCCTTTGCCCCAGTTGCTGATTTCTTATTCCTCTAGCTGTGCTGAGAGTGGCAGGTTCATGTGCTATGAAAGCATAGCAACCTGTGCTTCGGTACTATCTGCAGCAGCTCTCCCAAGGGTCCTCTGTATATAGTGAAAAGATATTTATGAATACAGGAGTGTTTGCAACCCATTCCTAGGTGATCAAAGCTGGCTAGAAAACAACATTTATGATATGAAACTATTTATTGGGGAAGAAAGGTGTGTGTAATGATTTGTGTAGAAAGAATAGTTGGCACTACTTATACACTTACTATGTGCTAAGCTCTGTTCTCAGTATTTTGCATATATCGCCTCCTTTAATTCTCACTATACCCTATGAGATAGGAACTGTTTTTATC